GGAGGGGCGGGGGCCGCGGGGCGGGACCGAGGGCTGGAACACCCCCTCCCCTGCCTGCCGGCTAATTCTGGGGCTCGGGGATTCTCTGCGGGCTCAGACCTAAACGAGCTTGGTGTCACGCAGTCAGGGGCTGGTTTTGTGTTTATACGCTTTTAGGAGGAAGCAAATTGCTATTTTTGATGGGATAAAACCAGTGACAGGGATGAACTAGTTCTGCGCTCTTGAGCATAGTTTATCCCTGCGTAAAGTGCGGCCCCTCCTGCCCTGGGACACCGGGATTTCACAAAGGAGCACAGCCCCCTTGTTATCCCCTCGGGTCTCACTCTGTCGCCCACGCTGGAGTGGAGTGGTGCAGTCATAGCTCACTGCAACCTCAATCTCCCGGGTTCAAGCGATCCTCCTGCCTCAGCCTGCGAGTAGCTGAGACTACAGACGCACGCCACCACTCCCGGCTAATTTTTTATTTAAAAATTTATAAAGACAGAGGGGTGGGAGGGGGTGTTTCCCACTCTGGTCACGAACTCCTGCCTTCTAGTGATCCTTCCACCTCGGCCTCCCAAAGTGCTGGGATTACTGCCCAAAATCAGCGGAACAGGAGGGAGTGTTAACCGGAGAGCTGAGAGGCACGCCCAGGCTGAACGCTGAGATTATGAACGCTAGCGGGACGGGCTTTCAGGCCAGATTGCTACCCTCCAGCCTGATATCTATCTATGGATCGATTCCAGCTCTTGATTCGCCACTTTGAGAACGTTACTGCCGAGAGAAGCACAGAAAGTGTTTGGTAGGGCCTCCCTGTCTCTCCTAGACCAAGCATAAACTCGCTGGAGATTTAAAACAGTAGATACACAGTAGCAAAACATCCTAGGAACGCAATGTTACACAAAGCTTAAAAACTCTAGATTAGGACTTTCTAGATTTAATTCGTTACTGCCCTGACTAGATGCGTCTCCTTGGATAAGTTTATTTAACCTATTTGAGCCTCGGTTTCCCCATGTGTAAAATGATGCAAATAATAATATTTACCTCATAGCTCGGTTATAAGGATTAAGTGAGGGAATCCGGCCAGGTGGAATGGCTAATTCCTGTAATCCCACCACTATTTGAGGACGAGGAGGGAGGATTGCTTGAGGTCAGGAATTGGAGACCAGCCTGGGCAACACAGAGAGATCCACCCTCACGCCACCCAATCCCTGTCTCTAATTTTAACACCTTAAAAAAATTTTTTAAATGAAGGAAATTCATGTAAAGTGCTTAACATTTAGTAGATGCTCAATTGATGTTAGCCATTGTTAAACAAAAGACAACACTCTCAAATGTTACTGAATAGAATGGATGAGAAAACCATGTGGGGAATTTTAAAGAATCAGAAAAACAAAAGGAAAACAGAATGTAAAACGACATTCGGTACTTTCTTCCAAGGAGCTCCCATTTCTGATGGGAAGGTGAACTAAAGTATCAGGTGGGATTAAGGTGGGAAAAATCAGGGCAAAATATAAATTGTCGTGTGAACATTATTCATTGCCCAGAGTTGAGGGGCAAAATTAATTTCCGCAGAAATTTACAAAGATTCTTAAAGAGATATAGAGAAAAACATTTCCCTGTTCACCTTTGAGCCAAATGGGGAGCAGAAAATGGAGGAAAAGGAGGAAGGACCCTGGAGACAGGTGGCACCTGGCAGACTAGCACCTTGGTAGCCAGCACCCAGGCCTGCTGTGCCAGACACTCCAATTCCACACCTCCCCTCCAGGACCTTCTTTTCTGGCTTAAGATCGCCCTGTGAGTGGGGACCTTGAGGAAGAGGAGCCGAACAGAGGCTCATTGGCCTGGGGGGGCTTGTTAAATTCCCTAATTGCCACTGCTAGCCCTGAAATGGAATGTTTGCTCTTTACAGATAGGGGCTGCCAGTCATGAGGTTGTGAGGAGCTGGTAGTTTCCACAAGGTCTCACAAGTACTTTGATGTTGATAGTTCACTCAGGGATAGTCTAGGATGAAGATTAGGAAACTCATCTTTATTCATATAAAGAGAAATGTAACAGCCAAGCTGACTAGATATTTATCTCAGCAGGTGAGCTCATTTTCTTCCCAGTAGGAACCCGTTCTTGGGAAACCAAAACAGGATCAAAAGGCTGCTGAATGGGTTTAAAGTTATTAAATGGAAATAGGGAGGCTGTTGTAGGTCAGAGCACCTATCACCTTTGAAGGTTACATCTTCCAAGGCAATGCTGATGAACACACAGGGCCTCACCAGCACGTAGTCCTGCACTGTCCAATAGAACTTTCTGCCGTGATGGAAAGGCCCCTCCTGATCTATCCAATATGGTAGCACTAGCCATAGCTGGCTACTGAGTGCTTGAAATGTGGCCACTGTTATTGAGAAACTGAAATTTTAATTTTATTTAATCTTAATTTTAAAACTAATAGTTAATTTATTGAAAAACTTTTGTTTTTCTTATTTTTCTTTTTTTATCATTATTATTTTATTGGAAAACTTTTAAGTATGTTTGGAACAACCTGGGTACAAAAACCTGTTTTGTCAATTGCAGATTTTATGAAATCTACATATAGATCAGGTATTTCTGAGGAAGATTTTATGTCCAAATTGAGGTGTGTGACTATACACAGCAGATTTCAAAAACTTAGTATGAAAAAATAATGTAAAATATTGCACTAATACTTGTTTATATTATTACATGTTAAAATAATATTTTTGATATATTGGGTAAAATAAAACATATTAAAATTGATCTCACCTAATGTGTTTTACTTTTTTTGATGTGACTAGAAAATTCAAAATGATAAATGTGGCTCATACTATATTTCTATTGCATAGCACTGGTATGCACACAGTAACTGTTCTTTAAATGCAGAATAAGAAGAAATGAATAAACTCTTGCCTCCTTTCAATCTGATTTCTCCTTAGCAGGGATTTTTTGTTTTAAATAATGCAAATGCAGTCTTGTCACATATTTCCCAATGCAAACACAAAACATTTGATGGATTTGCCATTGTTCTTAAAACAAGGAAAAAAAAAATCCTGCATCTGTCCTCTGGGGCCTAGTGGAGACCAGATTCCCAAACCAGTCACGCTTGACACCTTTCATTCCTTGACCAGGCAATCTCCTTACTGCCTCGGGCTTTTTCACAGGCCCCATCTAGAATGCTCCACTGTTATCTCCTTTCCTACTTGCCTGGTAGATCTTAGTTCTCACTGCTGCAGGGATGTCCTCGCTTTAGCTTGTACTTCTCCAACCATTCACCACAATTATAATTGCACATTTGTTTGTGCGTGATTCTTTGATTGGTATCTTTTCCCCTCACTAGGCTGCAAACTTCTTGAAGGTAGGGGCCACATCTGATTTTGCCAACCACCATATCCCCAAGCACCTAGAAGAACCACAGTGATTGAGAGAATTAGATCAAGGATGAATTGATCAAAGTCTCATCTGATCTAAACTATTACGGAGAAACAGACAAATGCTTTCCTCTCTTTCCTTTCTGTTATCAATATTCCTTAATGACCTAAAAGGATGCACCTTACCTAAAAGAACGCACCAAAAGCATGCTTTTAGACCTCAGCACCTTTTCAGGGTAGACCCCCTGCTCTTTCCTAAAGTTTATCTTCAGCCAGGAAGGGCTGCATTTTAAATCGGCAAATAGGGAGAACCCCCCTCAGCATTTAGCTGTGATCACTGCAGCTCTATCAGCAAGCAACATATCTGAAAATCATTTCAGGGGCAGGCGGCTAATATCATATGAGAGAATTCTTCTTAGGCAGTCAGTGATACTTCCTGACTTGGTTCTTGATTTCGGGTACATCCTATTTTGAAAGGGCAGGCCCCTGACTGCTCTGCCCGCTTTATTTTATTTTATTTTATTTTATTTTATTTTATTATTTTATTTTATTTTATTTTATTTTGAGATGGGATCTCACTTATATTGCCCAGGCTGGTCTCAAACTTCTTCAAGCAATCCTCCTGGCCTCAAGCAATCTTCCCACCTTGGCCTCCCAAAGTGCTGGGATTATAGGCATGAGCCACTGAACCTGGCCTATTTTAGCTGCTATTAAAATTTAAGTCTGCATGGTTATTAAAATATTTCATGTGTAACCAGGGTATTAATAGACAATCCAATCGCTCCACTTCCCTACTGAAAAATACATCTCCAGTAGGTCCCCGTCACCATGAGGTATGTGTAAGAATGAAGAGCACGGGCTCTGGAAAAAGACTGCCTGCATTCAGATCCTGGCTTTACTTACCGTGAGAACCTAGGCAAGGTGCTTAGCCAAGCCAGGCCTCAGCTTTTTCGTCTGTAAAATGGGGATCCTACCATAGCACTGACTTCACAGGGTAGGGTGGTGGAAGGATTCAATGAGATAAAATGCTTCAGATGGTGTTTGGCACGTAGTGAGTACTCAGTAGATGTTACTGAGCAAATAAGGCTCTCTGAGCTGGTAACTGCCTGCCTGCCTAGGCTCAGTGCTTGACTGTTTCGTATCATGCAAGATGTTCCACCAATGAGGAATCTCTTGAGGTTTCAAATGCTCACCATGTGTATTTAACTCTATTTCAGATCACACAGTCAGGCACACACACATACACACATACCAATCCAACCTTAAGATTCAGTCGTTTCTAGCTGTCACCTCCTCCAGGGAGCCTACCATGCTTGCCCTCCCCTGCCCTACAGATACCTAT